TTTCCCTTTGAGATTAAAACAGGGAAGAAGTAGATAGTTTATTAAACGAGCTAACTATTTCCACACTACAATCAAATTCACGGCCGAAATATCAGAGAACAAAATCACCTTCCTCGATACCACGGTGTTTAAAGGAGAGAGATTCGCAAAAAATCCAACTTGGACTTCAAAACCCATTACAAGCCGACCGAGACCTTTCAATTTACGCACTTCGCCAAATGCCACCCACCAGGCGTAAAACATAGTTTCATTGAAGGCCAAGCAATCAGATTGCTTAGAACAAGCTCTCCGAAAGAAGTATCAGAGGAGTGTCTTTTAAAATTCAAACAAAGCTTCAAAGCAAGAGGGTACCTAGAAAACATCATAGAAATTTCTCTGTCAAGGTCAACTTTGCTTCTAGGCAATCGGCTCTTACATATACACAAAATCCAAAAGGTTACAACGTACCACTCGGCAGTTAAAAATTTAAAACGAATATCGATGGAACATTGGATTCAGCCCTTGCTGGAGGCAATCTTTAAAAACCTCCGATCATCTCTCACGAAAAGGAAAATCACGCTCGTGAGAGCAAAAATGTAATTTGAAGGCTATAGTTCGACACGACCACAAAAGCCACATGGGGAGTCCGTGCTAGTCTGTTCTCACCTTTATTCTCGGGCTTAGAAAACCTCGAATGACATGATTTGGGTGCTGCTCAGTAATTAAAATAAAAATTTCAGCATAAATATAAGACCCAACGTTCAAATGAGAAACAAAGTAGGCATGATAACTCTGCAGGAAGTCATGAATCTCAAGTGGAAACCTCGGAAAACATTTCAAATGGTTTTCCATTGGCTCATACAGTGAAAGTATGAGCAAATTCCTGTTAGGATGCAGCGAAAGCGAAATATAAAGCTTAAAACGGCGCGACCAGTTAGTTAAACTAAATTTTATAAATAGAAAACTTGATAAATGTTAAGAAAATAAATTTTTTTAGTTTTTATCGCGGCATTCAAAGCGTCCTCCTCTATTCCATTAAGCCAAAGGCTTTCGATAACTTAAAATCTGGGATATCGTTTAGTATGGCGAAATTGAACATTTGTTAAAATCATGAACCATAACTCTTTTTCGTTTGTATGA